TGACATGCCTAGAACAAACTTCACACATACATCAGACATCATATCGGACAAATGCACATATTTGTCACCATCAAATCCTAAATGGCTTACTGGTGGTCACATTTATTTATTTTATTATTTATTTATTTATTAACACACAACATCCCTCGGAGGGGATGAAAAGGGTTACAAATCAGATATTAGTAAAAGAAAAATAACCACATAAAGAGTAAGGGAACAAAAAGGCATAAAAAAAAAAAAAAGATAATAAGTTGAATACAAGGAATGTATTACTGGCTTAGTTTATGTAGGTGCTGCTGTCTTGTATTAAAACAGTTTTTTAAATATTGCGCTAAAGGAATTGACATTTTCTCGTCACTTAGTAATGATATGAATTTATATTCATTACTAAATTTGTCATTAATTGTTTAAACATGACTTTCCTGTTTACATTGTATCAATTCACACTAATTGGTAAATATTTATTAAAAATATTACTCTGCATATTCAACTACATTTTGAACATGACAAGATTTGAAAACCAACCACTGATATTGAATTCCTGATAGATCAAAATAAAAGAAAACCCAAACAAGGGCGTTGCATCTTTTAGTCTTTAAGTAACATAACCTCATAGACAGTCAGGCTCTCAAAAATTTACATGAGTGTTGACTTTCTATCTGGATGGCGAGTGGGCATTTTTTACATAATTTCCATGTCCAAGGCAACAATCAGTCAGAGAATGTACCACGACAACAAAGAGTTAGATTATATGCAGTATTGTAAGTGATTAACAATGACTTGTTCTATTTCGTTTCAGTGTATAAACAGGACGTTATCAATCTATGTCGCAGTCAGCGGGCTGACGTCACTGACAGTAGGAGTAGCCAGCTGTGGTGCTCTGTTATTATATTAATCCCTGTACGTCTTGGCGGAGAAGAGCTGAATCCAGTCTACATATCTTGCATCAAATCATTATTTACACTTAAGCACTGTATAGGCATCATTGGCGGCAAACCCAAGCATTCCCTTTATTTTATAGGATTTCAAGGTGAGATTTTTACCTTGCATATTTGTAATATAAAAAACCAAAACAAAACTCAGTGTTTATCAGTATCAGTCTCGGCATTTTGCTACTGGAGGTAATACTGTACAGTCATTGATCTGTTCATCAACTAGTAATACAGCAAAAGTACATATAAACTTTTATTTGCTATATTTCACTACAAATACTTACTTGACATTTCTCAAATCCATACCCAAGAACAATTGAATTTGTTTAACACTTGGATGAACAGAGAATGCGACTTGATTATTTCATGTGAACCAGAAATGTGTGTCAACAGTCAAGTGAACAACACCTTTTATGCACCTGTGTAAGATTAGAAATAGATAATCTTAGAATTCCCTAGTTGCTACATAAATAAATGCATGTCCATGACAGTAGGAGGTGGGAGTGGGAGAGGGGTGTTCCCAAGTTAAATAGACATCTTTGTATGTTTCACCCAGAGATATTTGACATAATTATGTATGGATACAACAATGTTATGAATTATATTTTTTCCAACTTCATTGTGTGTATTTAACAAAATCATGTAATGTAGCCCCCTACAATAAAAATTCAACATGTTCAGGACAAAACTGATGCTGGTACAGCATCTGCCAAAAACTGCATATTCCTGCTGATAAATTATCCCCTTTTTTACAAACAGTAGCTAAGCAACCAGAGAACCCCAAACACAGCTATAGAGCAGAAAAAGTCATCGGTATATCAATACTGCAAAGCATGCACTCCCACTGCACATATGAAATGGCCATTGTACAGACTTCCTGCATACTCACATATTACGTGTACTGTAAAAGGATTGCTTATTTCGCTGACTGGAAAATGCGCTAACCCAGTGAATATGTAAAATTTAGCATAGAACACATTATCTAAATGTTAAAACCGTGAATTTAAAACCCACTGAAATATGCCTGAAATGGTAAATCAGCAAAATTTAAACCCAGTGAAAATTAGTCAGTACAGTACATTGTATTTCTTTTTGCTAAACAGAAGACAAGTTGATTCATTTAGACCCACATCTATGCCAAGATGTTGTTGATATGAGATCCAGGGACTTTCCTCTTCAGGTACATATATTATCCATCATCACTCATTGTCAAAGTTGTGTTGTCTTTCAATATACACGTGTTTGTAATATATAATTCATGTCATGTTATTTACTGCCATGTCTCATTTTGGTGTGGCATGCTTTCTAATTTTAGGCGCTTTATTGGAATTACTAAACAAGGCAGTAACTAAGCTCAGTTGTCGTTGATACAACGAACAATGCATCGCTTTGACATTCTTAGATGATACATATTCCCACAGTTAGTATGTAACATTGACGTAGCAGCACATGCAAAAATACTCATGTAACACTCTTGACTTGTGTGCGTAACAATCATCATGCTATTCTTTCCTCGGTTGTATCAAATTAGGTTTTACATTCTAGTAATGCTAAATGCATTTGCATTTCAACATGCATGCTATTCTGTCCTCGGTTGTATTAAAATCCATTTAACAGTCATACTATTCTGTCCTCGGTTGTATCAAATTAGGTTTTACATTCTAGTAATGCTAAATGCATTTGAATTTCAACATGCATGCTATTCTGTCCTCGGTTGTATTAAAATCCATTTAACAGTCATACTATTCTGTCCTCGGTTGTATCAAATTAGGTTTTACATTCTAGTAATGCTAAATGCATTTGCATTTCATTCTGTCCTTGGTTGTATCATTAGCATTGTGTCATGCTGTTCTGTTTCGAGTTGTATCAAGATGATTGTGGCATCTTTGAAAATAGACAATGGAGATCAAACTATAGATGAATCTTGTTCTAGAAAATTTATACTAAAATCCATTTAATGTTTACAGTCATTTCACTGTATGTCACCACGCAAGATGTCCCTTATGAAGATGGATCCCAGCTGTACTATTGGATTCTATTGCAAAACACAGGATGATTTTAAAGAATTTTGTTCTTATGCACAAGAGGTATAGTTTTGCATTGTTATCTAATCAAGATATCCATCAAATGGCCATATGGATTTCAATAAGGCATGTGAGACGTGCAATTTGATGTTGTGTGCACGTATGTCATTTAGATTTCGTTTTGCAATTTGTTTTTGATGGAATATGGATTCTAGTATTATTCCTTAGCAGAGCAGTTTTGTCACCTTCAAAATTAGTTTAATAAATGAATAATCACACTCAATACATGTGTGCTTTGTTTGTTTGTTCTTATGTTTAAAGAGGAGAAAGTTTAAACTACCAGAAGTATCGACATTTCTACCATGAGTCACTCCACAAAAACCTAGTAATTCAGTTCTATCTATCACTGTGTTTTAAATTAAAAATAATATAGAAATCATAAATTTTTGTATTTGTAGGTGTTAGACTCCACAAAGCACGTTGGTGACTATCCAATGTTCATCTTCAGTGACGGTTGCAGTCTTGAACATCAACTTCCACAGTCCAAGAAAAACAAGCCTGATAGGCTACTAAGAGTACGACATCTGGACAGCGAAGGCAGACCAAAATCTCAGGTTGAAGAATTTGTGTTCCTCTGAAAACCTCTGACAAATAATTCAACCAGACTTTGATGTAATTATGTTATAAAATGTTGTATATATGAATACACTTTTTGTTTATTTCATTTGCCCACAATGCAATGCTTCTTTTTAAAACAACCTGATGATTTCACTCAGAAACAGAAAAAGTTTCAGTTCATCTCATTCTAGTTTATCCCGGGTCACAGTCAGTTTCTGTTGATAAAGAAAAAAATCATAATTTGACTTGCTGCTTGCACTTTCGTATCATGTTAAAGTTGCTTTTGCAAATTTGTGGAACATTACTTCCAGAAAAAGCTAAATATATGAAAAAAATTTCAATTGATACTGTTTTAGCTAAAAAAAAACACATATATATAAAAAATAGATATCCTGTTCTCTCTTTCCATGTTTTCATTTTCAGAGTACTGGGGGGTCTTGTATCTTATACAAACATACTTACAATGTAACTGAAGGTCAAAGACAAAGCTAAGGCCCCCTAAATTTGCGAATAACTGCGTAAATTCATATTCTGCAGTTTCTTATTACTATTTCACAATTGATGGTATATATATGATTCAAGGAATGGTACCTCACAGATTCGCAAAGTGAGAATGCAACTTTAAAGAATGGCATTTAAATTCTCAAATACTGTAGAATAATTTATTTTCGCTTGGAATTAATTTTCGCTATTTTCGCTGAAGGAAAGATTCAGTGAAAATAAATTCCATAAAAAACACCCAAAACGTCTTTTGAGCGAAAATTAATTCCAGCTAAAATAAATTATTTTACAGTGCTCAACTTAGTGTCAGTCATGTGATTTTCAAACTTTTCAACATGTGTGGGTTTTTAAAATTTGAAATAAACTTTTTTTTCTGGAAACATACAGGGTACATAATAATATTAAAGTTGTTTTTTTTGGTCAACTTGAAAAACTATTAATCAAAATATGTGTGTAACTATTCCCAAAAGGGAAGCCCAGCACTCAACCTCATCATGGGTTAGTCTGACTCCCAATTATTTCAAGGAACAATAAAGCATTACATTTGTTGTGCAGAGCAGAAAAATATACACATCGATATTAAATACAAAATACACCTTGGTGTATATTAGGTTTGTGACTGACAGCTTTATTTGTCTCGATATGGCCATAATGTTATAATTTACTCAGGTTATTTGTGCTGAAAATATGCAAAAAAGGGAGTTCTCTTCTCAGTATGACTTCTGTGAGATAGAGCATATATCCCATATCCTGTGTTGACCCCTGACCTAAGTAATACATGTCATGTTTTGGGCAGCTGTTGTCTCCAATTGTACACATGTGTACAATTGTAATTGGATTTTGTAATTGTAATTTTGCTGCCAACACATCACTAGGCTCTGAAATGTGAAATACTGTGAATAAAAACTTGTCAGCATGTAAAGATACTTGTATATTCTTGACCATAGACTGACTTTACAGTTCAACTTCACTGTGGGATTCACTACTAGTATTTTATTTTTATTTGGAAAAAGTTATGAAAACCTGCAATTTACTCTTAACGTAGATTATACACTCAAATGTTTATTGTAAAATACTTTTTTTTTAGCTGGAAATCCTTTTTGCTGAAAAGTAATTTTTGTTCATTTTCACTGATTTGTTTGTGATGAGATATTTTCACTGTATTTTATTTTCACTAATTTATTCCTTCAGGGAAAATAGCGAAAATAGATTTGCTACAATGGTATTAATCAATCACCATTTAATGATTACCTGAGTGTACTTGGGGTGGTTCCTATCCACAGATTTTTACAGTATAATTAACATCTAACATGTATTATATATATAATCACTAATTACCAGTCATTTTAAAATTCAGTATAAATCCAAAATTATTAATCTATATGTGTACAATCAAATAAGATCCTAGCGTCCATGGCATAAATATACCTCATAGTGAAAATATTATACAGTTGTGTATTTTTTATAGTTTTTACTTTTAATTTTTGAGAACCAGAGAGTTTCTCATCATATTATACTCTGCTACCATATTTGCTTTATAGTAGTGCATGCATTTACATAAATTGGTTTCTACGGTAAAAATAATTTAGAATACAACACATGTGGTCTTCGAGTTACAGGCACTTCTAAGAGAGCAAATACAGTACTACTATTTTCTTAAATTGTAAAAATAACATTCAACACTGATTTCTGGAATGTATGATCCCTGAAAGTTGCACATCCTGGTACTTTGTGAAGTCCCACTGGAAGTCATACATCCTGGTACTTTGTGTGGTCCCACTGGAGGTCATACATCCTGGGACTTGTATGACCCCTGGAAATCACACATTCTGGTACTTTGTGTGGTCCCACTGGAGGTCATACATCCTGGTACTTTGTGTGGTCCCACTGGAGGTCATACATCCTGGTACTTTGTGTGGTCCCACTGGAGGTCATACATCATGGCACTTTGTGTGGTCCCACTGGAGGTCATACATCCTGGGACTTGTATGACCCCTGGAAGTCACATATCCTGGTACTTTGTGTGGTCCCACTGGAGGTCATACATCCTGGTACTTTGTGTGGTCCCACTGGAGGTCATACATCCTGGTACTTTGTGTGGTCCCACTGGAGGTCATACATCCTGGTACTTTGTGTGGTCCCACTGGAGGTCATACATCCTGGTACTTTGTGTGGTCCCACTGGAGGTCATACATCCTGGGACTTTGTGTGGTCCCACTGGAGGTCATACATCCTGGGACTTGTATGACCCCTGGAAGTCATACATCCTGGTACTTTGTGTGGTCCCACTGGAGGTCATACATCCTGGGACTTGTATGACCCCTGGAAGTCGCACATGCTGTTACTTTGTATGATAATTGGGTCACACATTCTGGTATTTTGTATGACTCCTGGCCCTGGGGGTCACACATCCAGATACTTTATAAATACAGCCATTTTGTGAATTCACAATGAGTGACCTTTGAAGGGTCATTGGATTTGTTTGGGCAATTTAACTACATTGTTAATTCATTACATGTATTTACTGAGTCAAAATGTTAACAAATGAGTAAAACATGCTCTACATAGTATCTAGACAGCTGAATTTTTGGTACCTTTATCCAGAAAGAACTGTGGGCTAAATAACAAAAAAGATATTTCTAGCTATCTGCATGCTGTACAGGCTATATGTGCACTGACCTATTACTTTGTATTTTCACATTTTGTCAGTTTTACATAAATTGAGTATGAACATTTTCACTG